TAAGGTTTCAGGGCCTCCGTCCTTTTTTTTGAGATAGCCACCTAACACCTGGTGTGATGGCTACAGTCTTTTTTGGAGAGAAGCGTGAACTCTTCTATCATCCATGACCTGCTCCTCTGCCGTGTACAACTTTAGAAAAACCAGGTGGCAAGGGCAGCTACTTGCTCCCTTAGCAGCGTGTTCTGCAGTGGCCATATGCCGCTGCAATCTAGGGTCTGCACTAGCCTTTTGACCTTTGATTTGTTGATGCATGTAGCTCATTATATGAGTTTTTTGAATCTTGGCTGTTTCAGGGTGGACTGAATATCTCTTTCTGTTCTTGGGTTGGAAGCAGTGGTCTGAAAGCAATGGGCTGGCGTTCGGAGAATGCGTCAAGACTTGTTCCTTTGAACATGCCCGTGGCCAAAGGCTTTTAGGACTCAGAATTCTTTGAGGCCTAAATTAGTGTCATGGTTTTGGTAATGTGAAGAATTAGTTTCTCTGCATATACATTGTCTGCAGTCAGCTGTTTGTATGTATCTGCATTTCTTCCAGTTCCTAAAAATAAGCAAGAAACAAAATCATGGTGGTGGGATAAACCCCAACATTATGTACCCCATTCTGTGTCTCAGAAATGCACTTCAGTTTTTTACATCTTTGCACTGAAATGTGGACCTTCTGCTCCCTTTCTCAATGTGATGAAGGGTTTGGGATGAGATGCAGAGTGTGGTACAATAAGGCAAGCAGCGGCTAGTCAGCGATCGTATGTTAAAGGGGGGCTCCTTTCTCCCTTAAAATAGCAGAAAGCAAAACTTACTTTTCAAAGTTCTCTGCATGGCCAAGGTTTTTCGCCATGTTGCCATGTTGACTTCAACAAAGCAGTGAGTTTTGATACTGAAGTTCTACTTTGTGTTCTCAGATGGTGTAGTGGTAGCAGCTAAACCGGTCCCATTAACAATATTGGGAGCTTCAGTACCCAATGTTGGGTACTTTTTCAAGTACCACTACTACTGAGCTTACATGGGGACTTTCATGCATCTGGTGCTAGTGCATGAAGTGCTTTCACAGAAAAAGAGGAATCAGGTATGTTGCAGTATTTAAAGAGGAAAAGGCAGGGGCTGGAGTCCTGGAGATGATTAGGTTGTTTAGAGGAACCTCTGCAGCATCATTCTATTTTCACAAATCAAAGAGGAGGCAGAAGTGGCTCTCTTTTGTGTTGCTGAAAGATTGAAATAGAAGGCACTGGTTTTGAATGGCTTGAGGCTATTATAAAAAAAAAAAAAAAGAAGAAGAGGAGAGACTAATTGGAAATAATGCTTATACTGACTTTGGGCATCTTATTTTATGCTCTAAACAGGTAAACTTTGGCTTTTCTTTCAGATCAGGCAGTGAACTTCTATATTGTGTATCACAAGCAGTTCTTAACCCTAACCACAATGGTGTTGCTGGAGCTTGTGGGCTAGTCCTCTGTGTTGTGCTTGCCCTTAGTGTATGAAGGGAACTTACTATCTTTTGAGAAATTTTGAAATGGTGTCATATGAAAATTATGTAGCCTTTGTTTTTTTTTCACTTCTCCTCTAGTAGTGGACACCTGAATATATGCCTTTCACCAGTGTTAGAGGCAAGACTGGATGAAGCACCTTATGAGTTGTTGATTGCTATGCTGTAGAACGTCAAATTAGGCGTTTTTGTGTGTGCATGCCTGCCTTTCAGTACTTTATAGGCATGTAAGGTGGATTTTCTCTAGAGGAGAATCTGCATGTACTGCGGGGCAGAACTCTTTTTACTAAGTGTGATCAAGTCACCTACCCTCCTGATAGAAAAATCCATGTCAGTTCATGCAGCTAAAATGTGGAGTATAGTCTGTCAAGAGCACTCACTTTCAGAAGATTAATTTTAATGTTGCTTTATAGTGAACAGTAATTTGCTGATCTTTGTCTGTTATGCAATTTTACATTTCTGAATAAATAGGATAGGCAAAACTTTTTTTAAGGAACCATTGTGATGTATGATATATGCTTGGAAAAATATTTATTTATTCTAGAATCAACTGCTATTGAATAACCTATTTCTTACACACACCTCTCCACCCATTGAGTAGTTAGTGGTTTTGTAGCTTTGTAACTGTAGGGTTTTGAGTTTGTAAAGCAAATTGGGTACATTTATGTGACTTTACTGCTCTAGAAGGCAGACAGTTATCCAACTCTTACACTGTTTAGCTTGCTTTACCTTTTGCTTTACCTCTTGCATGCTGAATTTTCAGTGTTTTCATTTTTATGAATCCTTTTAAGGAAAATAACTACTAAATGTTTGGTGAAATCAGCCACAGCCTTATAGGAGATAGGTGCTTCCCTTTGTGACCGATGGCAAACACGCTTGCAATTTCATTCTGGAAAACAGCCTGCACGTTAGTGGTCAAAACTAATGGCTAGCTGTGTGTTTGGAACTGTTTTTTAGGTAACTCATGATGCCTGAATACAGTACCTTTTCCTTCTGTGTCTCACAGGTCTCAGTTTGGTTTTTGATCTTTAAATGAGCTCCACATGAGGGAGGAGGGAGGACAGGGCCGTCTCATCAAGGAAGACCATGTTTAAGAGGGGTGCCGGGAGCATAAGAATCTCCTTTTTCGTTCCCCATATCCCCTGGGATAGGGGACAACTTTATCAGAAGTCCCAGTCCCAGGTGGTATTAGTGTGTCACCCATTGCTACTTTGAATATAATTTGGCACTGAAAATACTTTGCTCTGCAGGGCTGTTCTGAAGAAAAATTGCAAGGGTTGAATGCTTCCATCTGTTGATAGGCAATTGCCTGTCAGTGCGTCAACTTCACATGTGCTTTGCTAGGTAACAAAAAACTGGCAAGTCTTGACAAAAGCAGCAGTTGCTTCTCTCCTTCCTTTCCCAGCAGTGGTGCTAGAAAAGAAATTTGGAGCACCTTCAATGCTAGTGAATGATAGCACACAACTTTTAGAAGTTTACCCTGTAACACACAAATTCTGCTAGAGGCTACAAGTTGCTAACAGACCTGAGCAGTTGGCATAACATACTGGTAGGTTGTTACGACTGACTGAAGTTATTCTTGGAAGGCTTGTGCAGTGAAGCCCTAGATGTGTGTCCTTGATTACAGCAAGCAGCATTTATAAAACATAAACTGAAAATTTGAGCTGAATGTGCCGGAATTGGGTGAAGGGCTCCTCCTGCCTTTCATGCTTACAATGTTTGCAGTTATCGCAGGAGAACTTTTGAACTCAAATCTGGGAGAGAGCAGGACAATGATTCTTGAATGACCAGGAGTTGTGTTTTTGAGATGTTTTTATCTCATGTTACCTAATACAGGCTTACACTCAAATTTTAGAGTGTGCCTGAAAGTAATTTCCTTTTCTTCAAAACCAGAACTATATGCTAGAACTTAGTCTCCAGAACGAGATGCACAGAGTGGAACTGCATAGCTTCCCCTTATCTTGCAAAATGGTTCAGGTCCCTTGCTGGTGTGCTGAAGTGTTCTTATTTTTTCTGGCTCCTGTTCTGGAAAACAGACCTGGAGTGCCCTGCTGCCTAGCAAAAGGGAGACTTCATTGGTCTCTTCTGAAAGAAACACATGATGTTCCTGAGTCCCCTCAAAAGAGTGGAGTGCTCCAAAAATGTGAGGCCTGAAAACAGGAATTTTGAACTAGATTCCTGAGTTCAGTCACGCCATATTCAGATATTAGACAGCTAATTTGAGTCTCGTGAATCTACATGTAAGTGTTGTCGAGCATTTATTATGTCAGTTTGCCAAGCTAGCCTGCAAAGGCTGTCTGTGGTCCTTTGAGGGAGAGAGTGACTAGCAGAAGAAGCCAGTAGTGCAGTGTCTGTCCAAACGGAACTAAAAAAGCCTAACGGTGAAAAGTTAGGAGAGAGCATGCTCTCGCGCTTAATGTGTGCACTAAACAAAAGCTAACATCTATTCCCAGTCCTACCACTGATTTTTCTGTGGCTTTGGGCAAGTCACTTAAGTCTTTTGGGGTTAGGGTCTTTTCTAAATGCAAACCATGTAAAATTTGCATCTGCCTCGGGGATTGGAGACGTAATGTTTCTGAAGTGTTGCAAAATTCTGGAATGTGTATAGCTCTGTTCAGCTGGCTGGTTTTTTGTTCTCTACAAAAGCATGTTGACGCTTGATATTGCAATCAATATGGAGGTCACTAAGTGGTATGTTCTAGTCCCTGCTGTGAAGCCCAGCCTGAAAATTATTATCTCCCAGAGGTTAGCAATGGAGCAGTGGGTAGTACTGTCTATTTACCGGCAGATGGAGGAGTTTATTTCTTTGGTTTGTAACCTCTGCGTGGTTTCGTTCAACTTACTGTTCGTGGTGTTGCAAGAAACCTTTTAAGCGGCTGCAGAGGCAGTGCTAGTGAACTTACACAGATTGCCAGTTGCTTCCATAAAACAGCTTGGTTACACTTTCATGCTTTGTTAAGTATCTGGTTGCAGTAGTTAAGAGCGAGATCAGAGAGTCTAGAAATATCATATATTCTGCCCGTGGTAAATGGAAAACATTTACCACAACCACTTTGAAAGTGAGCTGGCCTGGTGAATTAATGTAGTTAAGTAAATAGTCTTATTCAGAAAACTATGCCGATTGTCCTATGGAGATAATTTTGATTCCTCTCCTAGCTTTTAATTTTCATGGTGGTGTTCCAAGAAGAGAAAACTGTAGTTAAGTTTTGTTCTCAGCACAGAGATAAGTGGAATGTCTCTGTTGCTTGTCTGAAACCATGTGTTGAAAGACATGATTTTTTCCTAACAGTTTTGCAGAGTAATAGGACACAATATGATTTGGATTGCAGAAGGCACATGCTGGGTCACTTTACAACCTGCCAAGTTCTAATTTGCAGTTTCTAAAAAAATATAAAGCAAACGCTTCAGTGCCTGCAGAAATCATCATTCTAAATTTAACTTGCAGATTTTTGTCTCAGTAAAACCTGGAACTATCTGATGGCATTTGTCCTTTGAATTCCAGGGACCAGCTTTTCCTACCTTAGAGTTCTAAGAGCTCCGGTGGTTCTGGCGTTCTGCTCCTGATCCTGCAGTGTATGAGTTGCAAATGCTTCAGAAGAAAACTCTAAATGAGAAGTGTCAGCTAAGTTTAATTATTTCCTTTTTATTTCTCTTAAAAACAAACAAAAAGCCTTTGGAAAAATATTCTTTCCCCTTGTTGTTATTTTCTTTACTGTGTTCCCACAATTAGTTAAGGATGAACTGACTTTTAAAAACAGTCCTAATGGGCTTCTGAATGCTCTGTTGCATTTAAGTGTAGGACTCTCCCAATATCACTGACTGGGAAGGCCCAATCACCAATACAGTGATTTTTGTTTCCACAACGAAGGTGCCATGCAGAGTGCACAGAAGAACTCATAGAACAGCAGAAGCAAGGGCCAGTTCAATGCACAAAACATCCTTTTTTTTTAAAAAAGTATGTAGGTGTGTTGTTTCTCATTAACACAAAAGTTTCTGTTTTCTTAGAGTTGAATCTCGTTGGAACTGTGGTATTAGCTAGATTGACAGCATTAGAAGTTGACATTCTTTTACCACTAAACAAAGTATAGTTTAGGTATTAACAAACAAGTTTTTTTCTTTGTTTTGGGGTTTTTTTGTGCTGTCAAGAGGAGAGTTCAGTGTCCATGTCTCTTTGGTTCTTGTTCTCTTCTGTAGTATCCTGTATTAATGATGGTGTTGTGACATGAGTACAAATTTTTATCAATGACTGAGTGGGTCATTTAACAGATGAAGACTCTCATCTAAGTTTATCATAACTTCTCACTGAGGGATGAAAGATTTAATACCATATTTCCCAGCTTGGGAGGAGATTGAATTTATAGAGTAGCTGCTTTTTTATTCTGGCTTTGAACCTGCCCTCAGTGTCCTGATCCGTCCACTCTCCCACTCTAATGTGTTATGTGCTTTCCAGGTGCACCTTTTGAAAATAAATAAATAAATAAATCCTCCTCGTTTGCTTTGAGGAGCAGCAGTTTTTCCTGTTATCTGGGGAAACTGAAGTGGCTAGACATGAAACATAGTTAATGGCCCAAAGTAAACAAACTTGGTTTATTTTTCTCCAGCCTTTCCCTTGATAGTAAATTCAAGTGTTACTTTTAGCAGCTATAGCATATGGGGGGAGCTTTGGCGGAAAAGTGAGATTTTTGTTTTTATTGCTGTAAATTGATCTCTTTGCAAAGCTGAGAGCATTCTGAATGCTGCTATTGATTGTACAAAGTCTATTTATTTCCCTCATAAAAATGAGTATGTGCCTCCTTTTAGACTGGAGTCACAACAGCTTGCCATCATGCTGTTTTGTTCCCTAACCTGGATGTCATCATATTATTATGTCATCTTATCTCCGCAAACTCACTAAAACTACTAGTTCCTGTGGCTTGCGGGAAGCCTTTTGCCTCCAAGATACTGGTGTTGATCCACAGCCTTATATTTTGCTGGTCAGAGATGGGTTGCTTAATGTTGATAGGGAGAACGAGATACGATGTTGATTTACTTGATCTCAAGGCAACAGCGGTGGGTGGCAAAGATTAGGGGAGCTTTCTGTTAACACACAAAGAGCCAGAAGTGTTTCATGCTCTTCTGAGTAAAGTTGCACACTAGAGATGACATGATTATCCATGAAAAGAGAGTAAAGAAATTCATAGCTCTGTATGTAATTGAAAGAGACCAGAGTGAAAAAGCCGTGTCCATGTTCTTAAAATGGCATCTGAGTGGGACTGGCAGACTTTACTGATAGTTTCTTGTGTATTTGTTATTTAATTAAAAAGGTAAAAATAGCTTGACTGTAACTTTTTAAGCTCGAGGTCAATTAATTAGAACACTTATATTTTCCGAAGACATTAGAGAATATAGTGCTACAGTCCCCTAAATGTAATTTTGTTAACTCTTCTTTTTAAGTACTTCAGTATCAGGTTAAAAATAAAAAAGGCTGTGAAATTCAGTGCTCACCTCAGGCAGTTCCTATGGATGAGACTGACAGATAACTTATTTACACTAAGAAATTAATCTTGCAAACTAGCCTGTGGTCTTCAATCCAAGCATCACCACCAATGATGGCCGTTGCAAAAGTCATCTTTTTTCCCTTTTACATAGATATGCTGTACTGTGCTAACTGGAGAGAAGAGTAACAGGTGAATTTTGTGTTTGAAGTCACTCGGCAGATCTGATGGTGCCTGCATGCGGGGTAGATACGCTGAGGCAAGAAGAGGCAGGGTACCTACCTGCTGAGACAAGGTAGAATAATAGAGAAACAAACTGAAAATAACTGGGTTGCATGAATGAGAGATGGCAAGGAAAAGGGATGAGGAAAGGAGCTGAAACAAGAAACTAAAAATGAAGGGGAGGAATGTGAGGGAGAGTACAGGTGAAGAATAAAAGGTAATCTTGATTTGGAGTGAAGGGCCTTACTAGTCCTGCATTACCTTAGTGAGTGCAAACACATGGATAAACAAACTTTTTTATGGTTAGCTTGCATTATGAAGTTGACTCCTTGGAAAAGGGTGTTCTTGGGAGCAAAGCATATTTTTACTTTGGAAAGCAGTCAGTGGAAAGAATGAATTAAATTTAAAAAAGTAGAGGTATACATCTCTAAAGCTTTTGGCAAGTTGCTGGTTAGTCCTGTGACTGATGTGCTTTCTCTCCAAGCAAGTATTCCATTACAGGGGAAATTCACTTTTGAACACACTGAAAGTAACGTCTTGCTGTTGTGTAGCTGAGGAAATTCTTCATGGCAATGCTACTAAGATATAAGTAAGAATTTATGGATCTAGATCTCCAGGTCCTCTTTTCAAAGACTCGGGCATATGCTTTGGTACAGATGTATACATAGAGGTAGACTTTGTTTTTCTGTCATTGCTGTCATCGTTTTTAAAAGATACATAGAAGCTAAGGCTTCTGAGCTTTGGTCTTTTCTTTCTTCAGGTTGGTGATATGTTTTGTGCCCCCCCTCCCCCCCGCCAATGGCAGCCTGAGAACCTCAGCTGACCTTCTTTGAAACTCTTGACTTGATCATCTAAAGGTGATGGGGCTTTGAAGAGGTGTCCTCTGCAAATACAGCCCACCATAAGATTCTGAACTCTCTAATACTTAGAGAAGCTTTTAGTAACCTAGGATCTTTGACAAGATATTCTTTGACAAAGTATACATCTATACAGGAAGTAAAAAAAAATAAAATAAAAAAATCTGAACTTGGAACGTAATGGAACTAAAACATCTTCAAGTCTGATGGAGGACGTGTTCTGGCTAAGAGCACAAGAGCTCTTTGCACAGTGCTTGCAGAGTATAGTGGTCTCCTCTTCCAAATCCTTTTAAATCTTCTCTCTCTTTAAAAATAAAAAATAAAATAAAATAAAATGTCACTGAAGCAGCAAGACTGACATACTCAAAAATGCATTTAAGTGAAATTTAAGTGAAGGCTCATGAACGTTTAAACTGGCTGAAAGGCAAAAGCGCACAGTAGCTAGTGTGGATTAGCAATATTAACATTTGAAGAAGCTGGCATTTTTATCGGGGCATCAAGGAAGAAATCTTAGAGGAGAAACAGTTGCTTAAACTTCTCTATTAAGGGTCACTGGGACTTCAATCACAACAATAGCATTTGTTTTTAAAAACTTTTTAATCCTTTGAAATTTAAACTACAGTTAAACGTTATAAAAACCTGAATCCCAAGGATCTTAGTGTATTTATACTGCATTATTTGCAGGAAAAGAATTATTAAGCTTGTGTTATTTATAGCACAAAGCTATAGCATGCATGTTACTTTTCTCTTGCATCTTACTAACCATTGAGATGTGGATTAGCTTGAGACCGCAGGAGACGCCTAGTAGAGCATATATATTTTGCTGTTGGATGGTTTTACTGGTTGTTCTAAAGGACTGATATGATTGGGAACACTGAACACACTAATCAAATAAGGATCTTGTGAAAACTCACAGCTTTATATACTTCCTACAGTAAAAAAACTTATAATTCGTATCCTTAGTGCTTGAGAGCTTCTGTGGATTTCAGTGGGATTTGGTTTGAGGAAGCAGTCCCTAACATTGATTACATCTAACAGGCAAAAAACCCCTTGATCTGTTATGCTGCATTTGATGTTTCTTTTAGCCATGACAGCTGCAGCTGACCTATACCTCAAGCTATCCATTAGCAGTGCCCCTGCTCAGCAGAACATTTCTGATTGGATGCAAATTCAAAGCTAATGCAGAAACTGTGTAGCAACTTTTGCAGTCTTACTAGTAGAGAGGCAGTTACTTTATTCTAAGCTAACTGTATGTGTTGGTGAGTTTGTAAATGTATTGTCCTGGCTGTGCTTCTGCTGTGCAGGAATTGGTAATGCAGAGAAGCTGCAGTAACCAGGACATGGTGCTTCAGAGAAAAATACACACAGAGAGAAGTTTCCATGTGGTTCTTAATGGAGTTATCTTGCCGATAGAGGAATTAGCTCATACCTTGAAGGAAGAAGGTCTGTTCTTAAAGTCTTTTCTTGTACAGTGGTTGGTGGTCACAAATGTCTACTTCTTTGAAGGGCCCACTAAGTTTTTAGCTCTAATGATGTTCTGTGGCAATGAGGCTACACGCTAACTGGTACCTACAGAGACTGTATTCTAAGGATTCTAGTTGATCAGGCATTTCATCTGGGATTTAGGTTGCTTTTTTGCGGGGGCAGAGGAAGGAGTAAAATACGTCAAATATTAGATGCATCTGATGTATAGTCCATTTGTAAATTTTTTCTCACCTTTACAATATTCACCAGTAAGATTGTTTGTCATTTAGAATAAATTGTATCCTCTCTGATGCGCCTAGATGGAAAAAGTGCATGTTCTGATTTACTTCGGAGCGCAAGAGTGTTTTTTTGATTTATTAGAGATAGGGTATTTTGAATATAAAATTATAAGAGGATATAATTGTTACTGAAATCTGGAATGTCACCTGAAAGGCACTTTTTGGATGATCCAAAGGGAAGTGATGTTTTGGACAAGGTTTTTCTGTGTTGTATGGTAGGTTTGGGGGGGTAGGGGGGTTGCTTGTTTTTCGTTACCGCCTTGTACAATTTTGCCTGGTGGATCGATGAAAAGTGCAAACC